GTTTGCTGTTTTGGCTGCCATCTTCAGCAACATGTCTTGGGCTGATATTCAGGTGCGGAGATTTTGGAGGTCGAACAGGGTCCTGGCCGCCCATTATTTGGTCAACATTAATGGTCGTGGGTGTTCATGTGTGGCTTTGGGTCGTGGGTTGCAGTCAGTTGTCTCGCCTTCGGGTTGAGGAGCTTGTGGCGGCCGCCTCCCGGGTAAGTTCCTGTTTTCCTTATCTTTGGTTATGTAGCTCCAGGGAGCCGAAGGGGCTCCCCACAGAAAACCAGCATTGAATGTAATGAGATGCCATTTTCTAGGTGAGAATAGAGGCTCCCCGGCATCCTTCCTCTGGTCGGCGGTTTTGTGATGTTTTGATACTTAGCCTCCGAACTGGCATGGCTGGGGTGCCGGTGCCGGGTGGGGGGGGGGGTGTGGAGGGGGGCACTGTAAAGACAAGCGACGTGACGATGGAGTGTAACGTTTGGTTGTTTACTTGGGATTGGAGAGAGTTCTGCGTCTGTTCAGTTTTTGGTTGCAATTTTCTTACCTTGTGGCATCTATTTTGTTACGCCTACCTTTCTGGGCGCCTATCCCCAGCCGATGGCAGAAAAGGAAAAACCCCAACCACAGGGGGGGTTTTCCCAGGGCCATTGCTCCCTGTGCCTCTCTGAGGAGGCCAGGTTCTGGCTTGTGGTCCCCTGTAGGCTGAACTCCTCTGACTAATGCCCTGGTCTAATGAAATGCATATTAGCTCGATAGCTCCAGGGAGCCTCCAGGGCTTACCCAGAAAATGCCATTTCATTACATTCAATGCTGGTTTTTTCTTATAGAAATATATATATTGTTATTCATTGGTCTCAGGAAAATTATCAGAAATTTCCTGCTCTTTAGACTAAGGGCCTGACAACTGAGTGGACAGTGCTTCGGATTCGTGATCCTGAGGTTCCGGGTTTGATCCCCGGTGAAGGTGGAAACAAGTGGGCAAATTTTCTTTCACTCTGATGGTCTGTTCACCCAGCATAAATAGGTACCTGGGAGTTAGACAGCTGCTACGGGCTGCTTCCTGGGGGTGTGTAACAAAAAGGAGGCCTGGTCAAGGACCGGGCCGCGGGGACGCTAAGCCCCGATATCATCTCAAGATACAGCTCAAGGCCATAATCCCAAAAAACATGTCAATTGTATTCAGAACTTCCCCTTCCCATAGAAAATCAAATTCAATAAGGGGAACAATTGTGTTTTGTGTGAATGTAAATTAATATTATACTGAAATGATGACAGTTGCTCTTATTATGCTGTTAGTAATATTATAGGAGAGAGAGAAACGGGGGTGGAAGGGAGAAGAGGGAGAGGGGGTGTGAAAGGAAGGTGGAAAGGAGGAGAGGGGGAGGGGAAGGATGAAGGGTAGATGACAAAGGTGGTAAAGAAATAAGGAAAGGGGAAGGGGAGGGGGGGGGGGGGGGAAGATGCATACAGTTTTTGAGAAGGGGAGAGGGGGTAGGACCGTGATGAGTTGGGAGGGGGGGGTTGAAAGGTAAGGGAAAAGAGAGAGCAATGGAGAAAGGCTGGGGACGAGGAGGGTCAGGGTGGAGAGGATGGATAGATACATGAGTACATGGATGGATAGATAGCTAGATGGGTGGATAGAAAGATGGATGAGTGGATAGACAGATGGATGGATAGTGTAGATGGATAGTTGGATGAAAAGAGGGGATAGATAGTTGAATGAAAAGAGGGATAGATAGATGGATGTATAGATGTGTAGATAGATGGATGGATAGATAGATTGATATGGGGTTGGATAGGTGGATGGATAAATGAATAAATAAATGGATAGATAGATGGATATGTAGATGGATGGATGAATAGATGGAGAAATAGATGCTTTGAAATAGAGAAATAATAAATATATTGTAAATTTGTAAAGGTTTACATGGTTGGTTCAAAATAATTTACTTCCATTTCTGCTGAATTCTGGTTAATTCCGATAACGAACGAGACTCTGGCCTATTAACTAGTCGACGGATCTCCAGCAATTGGTGTCCAGTTCGCAACTTCTTCTTAGAGGGATTAGCAGCAATTCTAGCCGCACGAGATTGAGCAATAACTTTTAACCAGTTTGGAAATAACTACAATAATGTAACTTATACTAATTATATCTCTTTTCTTGAGAATAATATACGATTGGAGAACACATTAACCCTTAAAGTGCGCATCGCGTCATATGACGTGCTGGACGTTGTTCCAGTAAACTGCGCATCACGTCATATGATGTGTTGGAGTACTACGCAAGATTTAAACAGCCCGCGGATACACGAGGTTCACCACACCTTCATCAGGGTGCTTGTAAACAGACGCCATTTTTAAAAAAAATCGTGGGCCAAACTCCCGGGTGTTATTGGCCTCAGTATTGAGTGAGCAACCAAGCCTGACGCACGCAGCATGAGCTAACAGCACTGCTGTTCAGCTTTTGACCACAGCATCGCCTAAAAATGCCAAATTATACTTGTTCATGCTATTATGTAGCGATGATATTATTACAGAAGACCCCTGACTGTGATAAAACTGACCAGGGTTCTGATAATAGCAGGATTGTGGTGATATTTAGCGCTGTGCGCCATGGAAGGAGGTGTAATGCTGTGGGAGGGAGAGTGGTGGCGATGTCTTTTGACTGTGTGTGGCCACCTTTTATTGACTGCACTCACCATACCAGCTTAGTGGTTCGCTATGGTGAACACAAGTGTAGATACTTATATATAACGTGCGTATAGAGGGTATAAACAGCAAGAGAAGGTTTGGAGCCGCTATTTTGGTGAGGGGCGGTGGCGTCGTCTGCACGACGCCACCGTGCAGACGACGGTGTTGTTTACTGGTTACCATGATGGTCTTTGGGCACCATACCAGTTTATTGGTACAAGTATGATGAATAAAACAAGTAGATATTTATATATAATGTGTGTATATAGCGTAATAACACCACACAGTATTGTTGGAGAAATATTAGTGCGTCTGACCTTGAGGGCGGCCGCCGATCAGCTGACTGTGTGAGTAGCCACATCTCTGTGCCTTTACTCACCATACAAGCTTAGATGTACAGTTATGGTGAACAAAACATGTAGATACTTATATATAACGTCTGTATATAGTGAATTAGAGCAAAAACATTATTGTGGGAGGAGAATGAGGGTGAGTCAGATGACTGGAGGGAGGGCGGGAGTGGCTGGCTGGTACACGGCAGTCACTCCTCATTACTTTTTGACTCATAATAGCTACTTAGTGGTTCGTTATAGTGAACAAAACATGCAAATACTTATATATAACCTGTGCTTATAGTGTAATAACCGACAAAGTATTTGTTCAATGATTGATGAACATAATTGAATCAACAATATGCACACCATATTTTTGAGTACAGCAATGATTCACTCATTTTATTATATAAATATATCAAACTACACACTATTGAATAATATTACAGCAAAAAAAGTATGAAAAATCAATCAGAGACATTGAAATAATTCGGTAATTATCTCTTTGTGGCAACTCTGGCCTGACAGCTGGCGAGCAACAGACCGCCTGGGACGCACGCTGAGTCAGCGCCTATAATTTGCCAGACTTCCCCGCCCTATAGCGGGCAATATATGCCACTTACGATTTTTTTTATTATTTTTCCCGTGATCAGTGAACACAAATTAACAGGTTAGAAAGAAAAAATAATTTTTTTTTTTTCAAAATGACCTGCGCCTGTGGGGATGGCAGGATATTAAACCCCGAGCATGTTAAGGGTTAATCAGTGATTGGAATACAGTACATATTAAGATAATTAGTATACCTTTATTATAACAATCACATACCAGTAGTAAAAGGCATTATGATCGTTAGTTATGTATTAATCGTGTTATCCATCCTCTAACATTCATCCTTAACCCTTCCACTGTGCGACATATTTAGCAGATCTCTAACCCTGTCCATCGAGGACAGAAGAAAATGTATATATGCTAGTTAGCATTGTAAATGTGTGGCCACATCTGTGGTAGAAAATATTACAAAAAATTAAATATTAAAAAATGTGCAACATGGCTGAGGATGATCTCGCTAATTGCCCATAAACTGCTCAACACAGTTGGGTGAAGTTTTGAAGTACCGTGTATGATTTAACCCTTCTGTTGCACGAGTCAAATAGCAATGATAGTGCCGTATCTGACCACCACAAACTGTGAGTTAAGTACCACAACTTGACGATGGTATTTTAAATGAGGTGGTATTCCCGAGGGGCTGCTCAATTTGGAGAAAGAGATACAAAAATTAGAAAAGGTGGAGGAGTTGCTTTTCTGGTAATAGAATACCTGAAGGTAAGAGAATTAATAATTGACAACTCAAAAGAAGGTGACATAAATCTCTAAATGGCTCTAGAGATTTGTAATGAAAATGATGAATTTATGAAAAAAAATTGTGGGCATTGCATGAATCCATGATTAGGCTTCAGTGTAAACCTCAGGAACCCTAGAGGATTCAGTTAAATCCCAGGTTGCAATGCTTATAATCATGTTCTGGTATAGTGGACTAAGGCATTTGCTTGGGAGTACCCAGAGCTTAGGTTTGAATCCTTTTCATGCCTCCTACTGATATTCTCATGGTTTTCCTTTTGGTAAGATTTACTCCAAACATCTTGTATGCTATCACCATATACAGGCGATGAGTTACAATAACGTGGCTGAAGTATGTTGACCAGACCACACACTAGAAATTGAAGGGACGACGACGTTTCGGTCCGTCCTGGACCATTCTCATTGTCCATTCTCAAGTCGATTGTCCATTCTGGACAATCGACTTGAGAATGGTCCAGGACGGACCGAAACGTCGTCGTCCCTTCAATTTCTAGTGTGTGGTCTGGTCATCAATATCACCATATAATTTTATATCACTGTAGCAACATGACATTTATATTTTATTGAATAGAGAATACATTATTTTAAGCAGTTTATTTGATAAATTGATCTTTATTTCTTTTACAGCCTCTTGTGCTGATGGTCTCCCATCATTCACAGAAAGTAAGCAGAAACAAGAAAAAGCAAACCAGGAGTTGATAATAACTAAAACAGCAAATACTTAAAAACAAAGCAAATATCAAATGCTTATACAGTATATGCTTGTTAATAATAAGTGAGTATTACAACAAAGTTCTTTATGCATTTCTGTTTGATATATTTTTCTGGGGGGGGAGCCCCATCGGCTCCACGGAGCTATCCAGGCTGATATGGATATATTAGATTTCTGGCATCCGTCAATGTGCATAGAATTCTAGGCCTACTGCGGCAACCCGTTCTCGCACTTTCTTACAGTCAATATTGACTTATTAAATACGTGCATATGTGACATACTAAACATACTAGTTTACCTTGAAAAGCTTCATAGAAAACACCGACCTTACCTATTATAGGTATAGGTTAAGTAATAATTGTAATTACGAAGCAATAAGATGCTTATTTTAACATGCTAAGAAGGTTAGGTAAGGTCGGTGTTTTCTATGAAGCTTTTCAAGGTAAACTAGTGTGTTTAGTATGTCACATATGCACGTATTTAATAAGTCAATATTGACTATACGAAAGTGCGAGAACGGGTTGACTGCGGACCACGAGCCAGAATCTGGCCCCCTCAGAGAGGCACGAGGAGCAATGGTCTATAGAAACCCCCCGTGTGGTTGGAAGCATTCTATGTCTGCCATTGACTGGGTCAGGCACCCAGAAAGGTAAGAGCCCCAAAAGAAACCCCCTATGCTGGTGAAAACATTGCTACAAAGAACCGAACAGGTGGACAGAACTCCCCAAATGACAACAAGCAAACCAGCACCACGTTGCCGCACAGCTGTTTGCACTCCCCTCCCTTCCACTCTCCCGGAGGAGGAATGGGGAGCCCCAGACCTTCACGCCGGCTACCCACCCTTCAGTTCTTGGCTGATGTGATACTGGCAAGGTCGTGTAACTCTGGCTCCAGCAATTGTTTCAGTTCTGTGCCTTGTGGTGTCGTGCTGTCTCTACGATCTGTGTGTGAGCTTGGAGTATTTTCTTACAGTACTCGGGATGCATGTGCCTAGGGTTTTCTTCCCTAGGTGCTTTGTAAGTACTGCCCTTGGGGCTTGGGGCCTCCTTCCAAAAGTCGCCTTGGGATCTACCTCCACTATGTTTTTTGCTGTTCAGTGATTGACAGCCCTTGGAGTCAGCTGGAGTTCTGTGTTCTACTGTTTGTCTCTGGGTAGTGGGTAGTTTTCATCACTGGTAGGGGCACAGGGTACTGTGCAGCTAGTTATCATCTCACACAGTGGCCGACTTTGTTCCGCCTGGGTACGTTGTCCTGATGCAGGGTTTTCTTTTTCATTTTTAGCTGCCTGATCACGGGTCTGCCACTTGGTTGGTCATGCCCTATTGTTACTTGATGGTCCTCCATTAGGCCCCCACGAGTGTATATGTCGCAGGGGTTTAGTTTTAGCAGATTGCATGGTAGTTTTGGGCGCCAGTTTGGAGTACCCTGCCTGAGCTTCCCTTAGCGGAATACCACAACTAAGGGCCCCTGGGAAATCCCATGGGGGCTCTGTGGTCCAATGGATGCGAACCCTGAGCCCCCCCTCTCGCTTCGTGCGAGGTTCAAGGTTGCTCTGTCCCCTTGTCTCATGGTGACGATCACCGGTTGTGCCTCTGCCATGCTGCCTGTAGGGTAGGTGATGCTTTCAACCCGGAGTCGTGCGAGTTTTATTGCTTGTACGTACTCCAATTCACCCAATCTACTGATGATCATATGCAGGTGCAGGCAGCTTCAGCATTGCTTGCTAGATTCCTGTTGCTGCAACGTGATAGGTTGGTTGCTTCCCTGGATGCCCTGAGATTGCCCGGCTTTGGTTATAGGGACCCGGACTTAGTGGGGTGTTAGTTGCATCGGCTTTGGTTCCATCTGCACCCCCTTGTCCTTCCCCTTCTATTGTGTGGCCTGGTCTTTCCCCCTTGCTTCCGGCTTCAAAGCGTCTGAGGGTTTTGGAGTCAGGGCAAGGTTTAGTTGGTGTTGAGACTCGTGTAGTTTCAGGGGAGTCACCTTCCAGGGTGGTAACAGAGGCATTCGAGTCTGGTTCTCCAGCCAGAGCTTCTGGGTCTGACCAGTGGGTCCCCTTCATTCCTGCTTTTACATCAGCTCCTGCATTTTCTTTAGAGGCGGGGGGTGGGTGGGTTGGAGGAAGGCTTGTCCTTGGAGTAAAGTTCCTGGGGTGGTGGAGGGTTTGACTTGGGGGCCTTGGGCCCGTTAGACCCCGCTTGGGTTTTTGTACCCTCGGAGCGGGGCTTGGTGTTACAAGGAGTGAGGTTCTCTTATTCTCCCTCCTCGTATGAATTGGATTAGGTGTCTACCCCTCCCCGGGTTCAGTTCCCTGATCCCTTGGGTTCTTCGGTTCTGTCCTTCTGGAGGTTTTCGGCCTCCCACATCCCGCCCTATGTGGTGCGGGAGGCCATTGCAGCTTACCTTCTGCGCGACCCAGATTATGACTTTGTAATGTACAATATGTGCATTTCTTCGTGTATGGATCATTTTGTCCTTACTGGGTTCGTTATGAAGTTCCAGAATCTTCCTGGTTGGCAGACAGCCCTATCTTCTCGTTGGAGGCTTGGCATGTGTTCTGTCGGTCCCTGCACGCTTGAGTGGTGCAAGGCTCATACGGTGTTGCAGGTTTTCTTGGGGGGTGAATTTGAGCATCTCAGTGCATGCTTGTTCGCTCCTGCCCTTCCACGGGATGTTGGTGTGGTGCAGCTTCATGTGCAGGTTCCTTCTCTTTTGGCCGCATTGGTCGCTGAGGACTTGCTAGCGCGTGGTCTGTTGGCTTCGGCCTTGCATTTATTTTCCTTGCTTGAGCTGTTCTCGGACTGGCTTGAGAAGGATGTGGAGGCGCTTCGGGCCGCCTCTGGGTCTGGTGTGCTGGTTTTCCGGCGTGGCCACCAGGGTGCCGCTGCAGTTTGTTTACATGCACCTGGGTGTACGAGTGAGCGTCTTGGGTGTATTTTTCACCACTTTCTGGGGTTTTATTCTCCAGTTGCCATTTCTTTGCTTTTCTGGTGTTTTCTACTCATCTTCTGTTCCTCTGGGAATGCTTGGGTGTTGGTTTTCTATAAGTTTTGGGTTTGGGCTCAGTGTCCCTCTGTTTATGCTTGCTCCTTCACCTTGTCCCTCGGTTTTCTGTCTGTTATGGCTGTTTCCCTAGGGGTTTTGTCTGGGGGCCATGCTTTGTCTTTCTGTGGTATATTTCCGCCAGCAAATGTGGTAGTTTGGCTCACCTTGGTTCGATTCCGGGTTCCGTTCCTTTGGGTTCTTTGCTTTCGTTCCAGAGGTTTCTTCCTCTTGGGCCCCCTTTGTGGGTTCAGGGGGCTTTGTTTCCTCGTGTATGACCCGGTTCTGCCTTCTGGGGTTCCGGGGTCTTCATGGTTTGCAGTCTAATCTTTTTGGATCTTCGCATATGTTGTTGTCAAAACCCAAAGCCGGGGCTTTGGGTTTTGCTGTCGAGGTGGGCCTTTTGATGCAGTTTTGTGCTTTCTTTGTATCTTCTTCGCCTGGCCGGCGTGGTGTTTTCTGCCTACTGGTCAGTGGCTTGTATTTTTCTTTTCTTTAATTTTCCTTTATTTTCTTGTGTATATATGCGTGTATGTGGGTACACATATATGCATATATACAAAGAGCCAAAGCTCAATCCCCGCAAGCACAATTAGGTGAATACATGTACATGTTTACACTTACGTGTCTGTGTGTGTGTACTCGTGTGTATGCGCATGTACATATGCACGTGTGTAATGCGCCTTGTGTGTGTATTTTTATATAGTAGTAGGCATCCTTCAGTCTAAAGACTATGGAGGCAAAGCTTGGGTAGGTAGATATGGAGGATAAGCTGTTACCCATGCAGCAGGTCCCCCCTCTCCACGTTGCTGAAATTATCCAATAGAAAGGCAAATGCCAATACACATGGCATTTATACATGCATATACATATACATATATATATATATATATATATATATATATATATATATATATATATATATATATATATATATATATATATATATATATATATATTCTACCCACCTCAAGACTCCGCTCCAATATAGAAGCATCAAGAAATATGGACCAATAGGCTTTCTACAAACACTTCTATTCAATACCCATTGTTTCTGTTCTGTCTTGTGTTGATACTTTTAATACCCTATTAATATCCCCTGTTCTGTCTTGTGTTAATGCCACATCATCCTATACATTTACAGTGGAACCTCTATTAACGAGTGGCTCTATTAACGAGTTTTTCCAGTAACGAGCAAGCCACTCGCAGCAAATTTGTCTCTATTGACGAGCTCGCCTCTATTAACGAGTGAAACCACATGGCGCTTCCTAGCGTCTCGCGGGTTCTCGCAAATTCTCGGACGCCTCCGACGCCAGTGTTGTTGTTGTATCTCACACGACAAGCATCCCTCTGGATTTATTTGAGCTTTTCTTTGGGTTTTTAGTGGTTTTGCGACTACAATTTGTAACAAACGATGTCTCCAAAGAAGCTGCTTGCTAAAGATAGTGTTGTCAAGAGGAAGAAAGACACAATTACTGTGGATTTAAAGAAGGAAATTATAGCAAAGCATGAGTGTGGTGTCTGTGTGATTGATCTCACAAGGAAGTATGGCAGGTCCTCATCAACAATTTACACCATTAGTAAGGGAATGAGGAGGTAAGGGAGGATGCTGCCTCTTAAACTGAGATCAGGGAAGTGTTTGGAATGTTTGAAAAGGTGAACGCATTCTTGGAAAAGCTGCCCTGATAAAGCAGTGACAACCCGGTGTGTGAAAATGTTTAATTAATTTATCACTTTGTGATAACACTTTATGAAAGTGTTATCACTTTCGCAGGTATATGTCGCTTGAACATAACACACTTTTTTTCTCTTGAATGTTCCCAAACACCGCGCTCAAGCGTCATTTGAGCAAATATTTCTATAAAATCCAATTCTTATCCGATTGACTTGGGGATTGTATACAAGTTTGCCATGAAATTTCCGTTTTCTTTAATAACCACATTGCCTATTTGAGAAAACGGCATTGTATTGTATCTTCGGGGTAAGACTATTATATTGTTGACACAACGAGTGTAATCAAC